CCCTTCAGGGGCTCATCACAGGCTAAGGGAGGCATCAATATGTAAACAATAACTGTAACAGAGGGGACAAGTGTTCTAATAGAGATCAGTATAGGGAAAATGTGGCACAAAGGAAGGTCAAATCAACAGTGACTTGGTTTGGCCAAAAAAGGCTTTGTAGAAAAGGAGGAAATGGAACTGGATTTTGACACTCAACATCCCAGCAAACAAGAAGAGGTTGGGGGAGGCTACTAGCACATGCAGAGCATGGTGTATTTGGGAGATCTTGACTTAGGATGGCGGTGAGGCTCCAGTTAGGTCTGGGCGAGAACACGGAAGGTATCGTGTCCACCAAGAGGCAGCCCAGGATATGGCAAATCCAACTGCTGGCTGAAATTTAGCAAATCACTTAGCCTCTTAGTGACTTGGTTTCCTCATCTATAAAATGAGGAAATAAGTCGTCTTACCTTTTAGAATTGTTATGAAAATTGTGTTAAATAAATCATATAAAGCATTTACAATAATGTATGACATATTTTAAGTGCTTAATAAATGTGAGTTACTATTATTATTGTGAGGGATGGGGGAGGGAAGCAGTGGAGTCTAGAATGATTCCAAGTATTCTGACTCGAAAGGTTATAATAGATGTTGGTGCCAATGACCAGGATATAAAGTACAAAGAGAAGAAAAGGTTTTGTGGGGAGTAGAGTTCAGTTTTAAACATGATGAGTTTGAATTGACTGTAGAACACCCAGGTTGAGAGGTTCAACAGACACATAGAGTGAGAAGTTAAGAGCTGGGTATACATTTGGACATCATCAGCATACTAGGTGGTTTTTAAGGCCACGGTAATAGACAGGATCACCCAGGGAAGCGAAAGGTAGTGAGAAGAAGGCTAAATACAAAACCTTCAAAGAACAGCAGAAAAAGAAGGTTCAGAAAAAAAGAATGAGGAAAGAAGGCTCAGAGAGTAGAGGTGAGCCAGGAGGATACAGCATCATGGGAGCCTGGGTGGAAGAGAGTTTCAAGAAGAAATGAGCATTCCACAGAATCCAATGGACTTGACAATCAGAAGGACCTTTGTCAGAGCTGGTTCTGTTGAAAACTGGATGATAGGGCATTGGTAATGTGAAGATGAGTAGTGAGTTCACAGGTATCCATTTTAGTATTCTTCGTTATTCTTAAACTATATTGTACACACACTATCTGGACTCTTACGTGTATAGTAAGTCAAAAATACAAACAGTGGGTGAGGATGTCAAAACAGCACATATAGATGCTTCTTTGAGAAAGTGGTTATGAAGTGAAATAGAGAAATAACGAGCAGCTAAAGAAGGGATACAGGATCAGGAAGAGTTTGAGGCTTGAGATGGTTTATAGGTCATGGGAGGAGAAGCCAGTGGAGAAGATGATGTTGAAGTTAAGAGGAGAACAATGAGATATTGATGGAACTAGCTCCCCAAAGACAGAGAAAGAAACAAAATTGAGGGTGAAGTTGGGCGCAGCCTGGGACAGAGTGAAGCACACCTCTTCCATTCAGACCAGAGGGAAAAGGGAGGTTGGGCATGAATACAGACACATTTGTCCCTGGGGAACATTTAAACCTAATAGCCTTTGTTCTTTTAATGACATAGGAGGCAAGGTCACCTGTTGTGAGAGTGAGAACCAAAGTGAGACTGAGAGAGAGTGACAAAATGGGAGAATAACATCTGAGGAGCCTGGAAAAGAGAATAGACTAAGGACAAGTGCAAGGACTGTCCAAGCCACATGAGGCACCCAAACTCAAGGAAGGCAGTGTCCTAATTCTGTATCGCCACCAATGTGCACAGATGCCTTTTCCTAAGCAGCCCGTGCATAGGATCAGAGAAGCCAGAATGAAGACTTGGTCCAAAATTGTGTACTTTAGGGGGATTTTTAGTGGACCTAAGAGTGTCTGATTGCCACCGTGTGGGGGGTCTTGGCTAAGCCAACTAAAATATCTGATAGGTAGTTAGTGTTGGATGTTGGATTTCAAGCGCAATTTAGTGTGCAAATTTTTATGTGAGGAGAAATAGGGATCTCTGGCTGGGATCTCCAGTGGGGAGATCCCAAGGGGTGAGCCAGCTCAGACTGGAGTGGGAAGAGCCAGTATTCTAATTTTTCAACACAAAAGTCCGAAGATCAAAGTTAAAATCAAGGTTGTGAAACCAAAATCTTCAGGTGGAAGAGAGATGGGCTTAGAAGAAGAGCAGGTCAAGAAGGTGAAGTGAAATGCTTGAAGTTTCCACAAGTTTATCCTTAAAAGCAATAGAGTAAGGGGAGGTGGGGGGTGTCTTCAGAAGGGAGCCATCAGGCTGGTTTAAAGGGATGCGGTAGATGGAGCGAAAGATGCAGCTCATCTTTAATGAGTTGAGGAAGGGAGCTGAGGGTCCAAAACCACATGGCAAAAGCCTCAAAGGAGAATTGGTATTTGAATGAGGACAGCGAACTAAGAGAATACGACATCTGTCTTCTGTGCCATTGTTTGTGAGGTTGGGTGGATGATGGCATGCTGGATGGGTGGGTGGTTGGGTTGGAGAGAAGGAAGGAAGGAAGAAAGAAAGAAACGGACAGATTATAAGCATTGGGTGCATAGCTGGGATTAGAGAAGAAAACTTAATACAGCCAGAGCTGTTACCTTAACTTTCAGTTCAGTAGATACGCAACTGAGCACCTGGTATAGCTAAGGCGTAATCACAGTGCCCGGCCCGTGGTGAGTCTTGAGCAAATGTTTGTGCACAGAGTGAGTGGGTGCTCAGGGCTGGACCCTGCATAAGATACTAAAATTAGAGGGATACAGCATCTAAGGATCCCAGCATAGTGGTCTCTTCAAACTTGTCTGCAATTTCACTCTTGGATAAGCTGTACATTAAACACATTTAACCTGAAAGTGACATTCACGAGAGAGGGTTGATCTAAGAAGTGTTTTTTGAAAGTACTGTTGTTTATATTTTTGTGGACCTTTTATTTCATTTGTTCTTGAGTAGCTGTAAGACGCTCAGAAATAGCACCTCATCTTTGGGGATTTTTTTTGATAGCAGTCAGGCACAAAATGCACATATACAAGACATTCTGATATGCAGATGGAATCATAAAATAATTTATGCAAAGTCAATATTAACATATTGGAGCTTTATGTGCAAGTGTCATGTCTAAATCTGAGTAATTAGTTTGTGCTTATCAATTTTAGCCCCAAGCATCATACAGTCTAAACTGTGTGAGCCAAAGAATGATTGCAAAGGAGGCTCCTGAATGGGTGATTATTAGTAGGATGGACTCAGGGACACATCAGATGGTCAACAAAGCAGGAAAGGAACAATCAGTTCACTTGTTTTGTATTTGATAACTAACTTCCTCATATATAAGATTCAAGGCCACTTGCAGTAAAAACACAGGTATGCTAGCCGGTAAGTTAAATCGAAGAGAAAAATCAAAAAGCCTGTAGAGGAAAGAAGGAAAGATGGCTCTATGAGAAAGCCAAGGTGTAGAAAAGAATAGGGTTAGGAAACTGAAGAAAAACTGTCTGTGGATCTTCATAGCTTTCTTAATGGGTTAGCAACAATCTAGGTAAGATCTGACCTGTTCCTAGAAAAGGTGGTCCAACTCTGAGAAGGAGGAATGGTAGTTGGACCCACAGATGAAGACAGATACCACTCTGCACACAATCTCGGCAGTGCTGCGTAACAACCTCCTCAAGAGAGACAGCAGGGATAGAGTAAGTACAGGGTAGAATGGGCACATACTTGGGGAGCAGAGGTGGGAGGAGGAAGGGACATAAAAGGTCTCTAGATCTTCCTTTGCTTTCCGTTGGAGAAACCTTGGTAACAGCAGAATAGAGAAGGGATACACAAGCTCGAATACATATGAGCTTAACCCACTTATGGCACATGTGTCGCAGTGGGCGAGAGATGATACAGGGTCAGTAAATCTGTCCAGGGTGGGTTTGAACACACTCTCTCTCCCTCTGCTCCTTGTGTGGGTCTGCACCAAGGAAAGAGACACAATACCATCCTCAAGAAACTCTTTCACTGCAAAAGTCTGAAAAAATCCCTTTTCAGCACCCACCCACCCCACCAAGGGAGGTAAGAAAATATCTTCACCTGAAGAGAGAATTTCTCACTTTTCTTCAAATGGACCCACTGCTGCTTCTGTGCTTGCTTAGGTTTGGAAGGGGAAGGATATCAAGACGTAGGGTGCAGAGTCTATATGTAAACTCCAAGTCAGTTTCCTGATAATCAGAAGTTGATTCAATGCAATTCCACAGTCATTTAGTGAATGCAAATATCTTCCAGGAGATGGAACTGAGGAGGAATACTGGAAGTGAATACAACAATCCCCCCTCTCTCTCGCAGCTTAGTGAATTGGATGTCAAAAAGCTATGACAAATTAGTGCGTGTTGAGCTCAAGTTGTGTCCTTAATACTGTGTTATAAAAACGCCACCATTCTCTGTATTTCATACGTGTGATTTGTTTTTTCACTTCCCCATGAATGACATTTTTATGAAGAGCAAAGTGATATGCAGGGCTTATTGGAAACTCATACTAATAGAAGTTTTGAATAAAATAAATAACTCCTCTAATAGTGAGCCCTAAAGTTAAAAGTACTTTGTGCATTTCTTCAGAAACACCCTGTGAATTTTGTGGGAGCAAATCCAAGAGAAGCAGCCCCCTTTGTACGACATTTTCCATAGAACTTTTACGACTGAGTTGGCCCTTTATTCAGGGGCTTAAATGAAGCAAAAATAGGACAGCCTTGTAGATCTTTTTAAGATATAAAGGGGACATGGGAATAGCCATGGAACCAAGAATTGGTAAAGTTAAGAAATCATAAAAGTAGGTTTCCCATCCTTTAAAAAGAAAAATCCCTTTCATTCCTTCTCATCTCCTGTTCATTTTTTATTCCTTCCATGACGTATTAAGGCATCCCTGTGTAGCTGCTTTATATCCTACTGACTTTAAATACTCTTTGTATTACAATGTTGATTGCTTTTCCCTCCCTTTAGGAGATGACCTGGCTTCCACCACTTTCTGCTATTCAAGCACCTGGCAAAGTGGAACCAAGCAAATTTCCATTTCCAAATAAGGTGAGATCTTGCATCCCTCCGAAAGAATATGCTTTACTCACACAGAGATTTTTAGTGGACAGTGGGTTTTCCCTTGATTATCTTTTCCTCTGTAAATATTCCTGCCAGAGACATATGGATCTAATTTCAACAATTTTTGAGTGTATATTTGTTCATCAAAGGGAGAAAAAAAGCTTGCAGTCTTACTTACCTCCACTTCCATACTTTCTGCAAAATGTGATGCATGTTATAATCATTTGATCCAAAAACATTTGTGAAGTTGAAATATACTCACCTATGCAGAGTTTAGTGTATACCATTTTAGTCCTTTTCCCTGTGCGTTATATACATATTTGTGCACATGTAGTTTTTAAACTCTCAAATGGTATAGTAGTAAAAGCATTTTTTCTAAGAGTTGATTTTTTTCCCAGATACCCATAATACATAAATATCATTAGCAAATATTAACATCACAACTTTCTAAAGTGAATTATTAAAATAATTGTTCATTGTGATTATCACATTCCAATCGAGGAGTCGGTTTTTATTTCCTTGAACAAAGTGTATTTGGAGATCTTTCCAAGTGAATATGTAGAAATTTTCTTTATTCTTCTTAATTGCAGCAAAATATTTCCTAGTATGCTTTTGCTATAGTTTATTTAGTCAAGCTCCTTTTGATGGACGTTGAAATTGTTTGTGGTTTGTTATCACAAACATTGTTACAACAAACAGTTTTTGTAAATGCCTCTTTCTGTTCCTGTTATTGAAAGTCTCTAGCGTGGATTCCTAGAACAGGAGCTGTGGTGCTAGAGGAGTCGGAAGCCATATTTACCCTTGACTGTGTTTCAAGAATACTGTTTAATGCATCTAAGCAAACGTTTAATATTATCTGGTTTTTTATCATCATTTCTGTATGATGGGTGAAAATTTGATATCTAATTGTTTTCATTTGCATTTCTCCAATTACTTTTGAGTCTGAGATTGACTATTTTTCCTTTGCAACCTGCCCATTCATATCCATTGCCGCTTTTTAAAAAATGATTTGAAGGAACTCCTTATATTTTCTTCACTTCTCTATTATATATGGTGTAACTATTTTCTTGTAACTTTAATTTTTATGTTGGAGAAAAAACGTCTTCCCTTCCCTAACCTTCTAACCATATTCTCTATTTTATTCTAATTCTTTTGTAAATTTGTTTTTAAGTTTTAAAAAATTTTTTGTGGATGGTCTAACATAAGATTCTAGTTTTATTCTTTTCAGCAGTTAGCAAATTATTGTAATACTATTAGTGAATTAGGCCATTTTTCTCCCACTGGTTTGAAATATCATTTATGTCAACAGTCGAATTTCTCATTTATATGGGGCTTTGTTTCAGGACTTTCTATCCTGTTTTTTCAGTATGTTTATCTATTTCTTTCCCAGTAACTCTTTGTTTAAATCAAAGGTCAATAAACTTTTTCTGAAAAGGATCAAATAGTAAGTAGTTTAGGCTTTGCAGACAATACCTAGATGAATGAATGTAGCTATAGTCAAATAAAATTTTACTTACAGAAACAGGTGGTGGCACAATATATAAAGAACTCATATAACTCACTAATAAAAAGACAACTCATTTTAAGAATGGGCAAAGGATGTAAATAGGCGTTTCTCCAAAGAAGATCTATAGATGGCTAAAAAGCATGTGAAAAAACACTATCACTATCATTAACCTTTAGGAAAATGCAAGTCAAAACCACAGTGAGATAATGCTTTACACCTACTTAAAAGGCTAAAATCAAGGACAAACAATAAGTGTTAGCAAGGGTGTGGGAAATTGGAACCCTGATATCAGTTGCTGGTGGGATCATAAAATGGTACAGCCTCCTTGAAAAACATTTCAACATTTCCTCAAAAGGTTAAACATTGTATTATCATATGACCCAGCGATTCCACTCCTAGGAATGTCCCTAAAAGAATTGAAAACATGAGAACTTGTACTCACATGTTCACAGCAGCCTTGTTCATAACAGCCAAAAAGTGGAAACAACAGAAATGTCCATCAATGATGAATGGATAAACAAAATGTGATATATCCTTACAATGGAATATTATTTAGGCATAAACAGGAATGAAGTGCTGATACATGCTACAATGTGGATGAACCTTGAAAACATTATGCTAAGTGAAAGTGAAAGAAACCAGTCACAAAAGACCACACATTATATGATTTCATATATTTGAGATGTCCAGAATAGGCAAATATAAAGACAGAAAATAGATTAGTGCTGCTTACAGCTTGTGGGTGGGGAGGTGAGGTTGGGTGATAGCTAAGGGTAAAGGATTTCTTGGTGAGGTGATGACAGTGTTCTAAAATTCATTATGGTTCATCAACTGTGAATATGCTAAGAACCATTAAATTGTTTAAAAAAGCAAAACAGAGGGTGGGCTGTATTTGGCCTGTGGGCTGTGGTTGGCTGACTCCTGGTTTAAATTATTGGTGACTTTTGGCATATTTGTAGTATATTATCAGGCAAATCCCCTTCTTTGTTATTTTCCAGAAGTCCTGCTGTTGTACGTTTTTCTCTTCCATATCAATTTGAGAATCATCTTGATGACCTGTTGCTCCTTAAAACAATCCTTTTTTTTTTTTAATTTTTTTTTTCCGGATGTACATCATATTTCAAGTTCTGTATACATTACATCGTGTTCACCACCCAAACACTAATTATAGTGCATCCCCTCACATGTGACCCTAATCACCCCTTTTGCCCTCCCCCCTCCCCCCTTCCCCAATGGTAACCACCAATCCAATCTCCAATGCTATGTGTTTATTTGTCGTTGTTTTCATCTTCTACTTATGAGTGAGATCATATGGTATTTGACTTTCTCCCTCTGACTTATTTCACTCAGCATAATACCCTCAAGATCCATCCATGTTGTCACAAATGGCCGAATTTCATTATTTCTTATGGCTGAGTAGTAGTCCATCGTGTATAAATACCACATCTTCTTTATCCATTCGTCCCTTGATGGGCACCTAGGTTGCTTCCAAGTCTTGGCTATTGTGTATAATGCTGCAATGAACATAGGGGTGCAAGTATCTTTATGCCATTGTGTTTTCAAGTTCTTTGGATAAATACCCAGCAGTGGAATAGCTGGATCATATGATAGATCTATCCTTAATTTTCTGAGGATACTCCAAACTGCTTTCCATAGTGGCTGCACCAGTTTGCACTGCCACCAGCAGTGAACAAGGGTTCCCTTCTCTCCACATCCTCTCCAACATTTGTTGTTTCCTGTCTTGTTAATTATAGCCATTCTGACCAGAGTGAGGTGATACCTCATTGTAGTTTTGATTTGCATTTCCCTGATAGCTAATGATATTGAGCATCTTTTCATATGCCTGTTGGCCATCTGTATATCTTCTTTGGAGAAATCTCTGTTCAGATCTTTTGCCCATTTTCTAATTGGATTGTTGGTTTTTTTGTTGTTGAGCTGTGTGAGTTCTTTGTATATTTTGGATATTAACCCCTTATCTGATATGTGGTTTGCACATATCTTCTCCCAATTGTTAGGTTGTCTTTTTGTTTTGTTGATGGTTTCCTGTGCTGTGCAGAAGGTTTTAGTTTGATGTAGTCCCATTTGTTCATTTTTCTTTTGTTTCCCTTGCCCAGTCAGACATGGGACTTGAAAATATGCTGCTCAGACCAATGTCATAGAGCGTACTTCCTTTGTTTTCTTCTGGAAGTCTCATGGTTTCGGGTCTTACATTCAAGTCTTTAATCCATTTTGAGTTTATTTTTGTGCATGGTGTAAGGGAATGGTCTACTTTCATTCTTTTGCATGTGGCTGTCCAGTTTTCCCAACACCGTTTATTGAAGAGACTCTCCTTTCTCCATCGTATGCTCTTGGCTCCCTTGTCGAATATTAGCTGTCCATAAACATGTGGGTTTACTTCTGGGCTCTCAATTTTGTTCCATTGATCTGTGTGTCTGTTTTTGTGCCAGTACCATGCTGTTTTGGTTACTATGGCTTTGTAGTATAATTTGAAATCAGGGAGTGTGATACCTCCAGCTTTGTTCTTTTTTCTCAGGAATCCTTTGGCTATTCGGGGTCTTTTGTTGTTCCATATAAATTTTAGGATTCTTTGTTCTATTTCTGTAAAAAATGTTGTTGGAACTTTGATAGGGATTGCATTGAATCTATAGATTGCTTTAGGAAGTATGGACATTTTAACAATGTTAATTCTTCCAATCCAAGAGCACGGAATATCTTTCCATTTCTTTGTGTCTTCTTCGATTTCTTTCAACAATGTTTTATAGTTTTCAGTGTACAGGTCTTTCACCTCTTTTGTTAAGTATATTCCTAGGTATTTTATTCTTTTTGTTGCAATTGTAAATGGGATTGTATTCTTAATTTCTCTTTCTGCTACTTTGTTGTTGGTGTATAGAAACACAACCAATTTTTATACATTGATTTTGTATCCCGCAACTTGATTGTAATCCTTTATTATTTCTAAAATTTTTTAGTGGACTCTTTAGGGTTTTCTAGATATAAAATCATGTCGTCTGCAAAGAGTGGTAGTTTCACTACTTCTTTTCCAATGTGGATCCCTTTTATTTCCTTTTCCTGCCTGATTGCTCTGGCTAGGACTTCCAATACTATGTTAAATAAGAGTGGTGACAGTGGGCATCCTTGTCTGGTTCCTGTTCTTAGAGGGATAGCTTTCAGTTTTTCTCCATTGAGAATGATATTTGCTATGGGTTTGTCATATATGGCCTTTAGTATGTTGAGGTATTTTCCTTCTATACCCATTTTATTTAGAGTTTTTATCATAAATGGATGCTGTATCTTGTCAAATGCTTTCTCTGCATCTATTGAGATGATCATGTGATTTTTATTCTTCATTTTGTTAATGTGGTGTATCACGTTGATAGATTTGCAGATGTTGAACCATCTCTGCATCCCCAGAATGAAACCCACTTGATCATGATGTATGATCTTTTTAATGTATTGTTGTATTCGATTTGCTAGTATTTTG